TTTCATATGTCCAGTCTTCCGCAGTTTCGATAAAGATTAAGTTACCCAATGTCTATTGAAATAACATCGTTAGCTGAAAATTGGCATAACATCTCTGTGAAATTGGGTAAAATATATCAAATTTGAAGCAAATGAAGAATTTCCTGAGTTGTGATTTGCGGAAATATCTACAATCATAAGCCTCAGGCTATTATTCAAAATGCAACGTAGCTGTGTTATTTAATCTGACTTCAACTCAAATGTATAAAATTTACACAGGGGCAGATCCAGGCTTTTCAAAGGGGGTGGGGACGAAAACATGACTTGGGGAATCCTACTCACCCTTTCAGACCATCGCGGGGGGGGGGGGGTAAAAAGAGGAGACCTTACTATTTCCTCTTTCCCCTTCCTTTTCTATAACTTCCCCTTTGTTATTTAAAGGTTGTTGGGGGTGACAAGCCTAAATTTGCGCTAAAATCGACAATCATTGCAAAATCCAAAAGCTAGTTTACAAATTAAGGGCATTGATTTTCTCATTTTAGAAAGGCAATGCCATTTGATGTCAATATAGTGAAGTATAACCAATCATCAAAATGGTCCCGAAGTTAAACAAATTCACCGATATCGGCACGGATTTGGCCTATTTTTTCATTATTTAACAAGGAAGTCATTTCATTTTGACCCGACGAATGAAATCAATTTACGTGTGTGGTATCAAGGAAAATTCCAAAATGCCCTTTCCAATCTTCTTGAAACTGTTCGATATATTCAGTCGAATTCACTTCTCATTTTGTAAAGTGTAACCGAATCAATGAAAGGCACATCTTCCGACTCGGGTATAACACCTGCCATGTCGATCAGCTCATGCAAGTGGCGGATCTAGACCGAGGAGGGTGGGGAGTGGGTGGTGGAAGGGAGGGGTAGTGTCGCAAGAGGTGCCCCTCTGATATTTTACAACTTCTGTCGCATGTATGTTGAAACTTTTGATCGCGTTTTACTTTTCCTTTTACAGGTTACTTCAACATACGTTTGCTACGCCATGAACACGAATTACGTTAACTTTGCAACTCGGGTTACGCCCCCTCCCCTTTACTTCAAAAACCTGGATCTGCTACAGCATGATATGATTACAAATGACATATAAAGCTAATGTAATTGTTATATGCAGTTCCGAGTATTAGAAATTGTGGGGATAGTATTCCATTAGATAATGATCCGTTCTAGATATGTGATAGAAACTGGTTGTCAATACTAGTTCGAGAACAAATTGTATTATGCTCTTGTATTGTTTTAGCCTCATAGCAGGGAAACGTAACAGAGATAGCTAGGAAATTAAGACCACTCTGTCCCAGAGGGGTTTCTGGAAGAAAAAAAAAACGATATTTATGATTTATTTTCCCAGTTTAAATGTACATCCAGTAAAGCTTTACACAAAACAAAGATGCTTTCTGTTCTTTGATAATTTTCATCATAAAGTAAGAATGAATCTAGTAGGACAATAATATGACAACTCCCGATAATGCTTTAAATCATACGTATACAAGAGAAAAAGCGGAATGATATACTGTGAAATCTTACACAGTAAATCCATGTACACTATAAAGCGCATATGATACGGATAATTCCAGACGGCAAAGCATTTCTCTCCCTGCCCTAGATTATTATGCTTCAGTTGGGAGAGAGATAAAAGCAGGGATATGAAAGAACTAGCTGTGAGGAGGGGGAAGGTCGATGGGGAGAGAGAGAGGGAGCTAAAGGGAGAAATGAGAAGAGAGAGTTAGAACTAGAAGAGGAAGGGAGAAGGAGAAGGTGAAAGGGGAGAGAGAGAGAGAGAAGGGGGAGGGAGAGAACAAACGAGAAAGGTAGAGAGGGGAATATAAAGCAAAGCTGATTGTGGCAGAGTTAAATGGAATCGTAACCCTGATATTGCACTTCAGAGTATTTCTGGTACGGTAGACTGCGTATAACGTAATCAGTGACTTCAAGACGACGAAGGAAAGAGCTTCCAATTGCGTTGCTATTGGCAACGTCCTTTCTGTTTCCAATTGTCTAGTTGTATGAGTGTAGTGTTGAACAAAATATAAGAACAATGTTAGAAAGGCAATGTGTAAAACCAAATGAATTGTTAAGTTATTAGTCGAAGAAGGATTAGGAGAAAAAAAGACTTTGATTAAAGCATGAGAGAGAGAGAGAGAGAGAGAGAGAGAGAGAGAGAGAGAGAGAGAGAGAGAGAGAGAGAAGAGATAGAGGGGGTACCGAAGAGAGGGGGGGGGATAGGGTAGGGAGATTTGAGAAAGAAGCGAAGGCAAAGGGGAGGGGCGGAGAGGGAGACATAAATTGAAAGAGAGAGAGAGACTGAGAAAGAGAGCGATGCATAAAGAAAATATGTTTTCGAATAAGGGTAGACATAAATGAAGAGAAATTAATTGGAAGGAGAATTTCTGATATATTTCGAAAGATTACTTACAGCAAGAATTAGACCAAATATACACAAACTAATCATATTGTCATAAACGACTTCTTGGTTTATTGATTTCACGAAATTCGAGGTTACGTAAAAAGATGTTTCTATTGTATCGATCACGCTACATTGTGTAGTCAGTAAATATCAGAAATTTGAACAAACCTTTTAACTCTATAATATATTTTCCTTTCAGATGGCATTATATTTGTATGTGGAATTTAATATCTGATAGTAAATATTTGGCTCCGACCTTGGTAAATTTGAAGTGAAGTTCATTATGGAGTATTTACGTTTTATAACAAAGATGAGAAGGAATTATGATATTGGAATAGGATATGTATACAGAAAGGCGGATTGATTAACCGCGTCTAAAGTTGATTTGCTAAAATTCAGTTGATAACACAATTTCGGCGTTTCTGTTTTTTATATAATGATTTTGAAATTACATCCCTCCCCCGAAAATAGAAACAGAATGTCAGATTCAGCTGCTGCTATTACAAAAAAGAGTAAAATATTCACTATCATAAATGACAATGACAATAATAATAATAATACAAACGGTGCTTATAAAGCGCTTACCACCAAAGTCTCTAAGCGTAATGAAAGATCTTTTCCTGTTACTTGTAAAGTGGAATAATAATTTCCCTCAAAAGTGGATTAATGATTAAAAACGTAGTGATCTATTTATTTATCTATATCCTTTTTTTTCTTCTGAATTCCAGCTTTCTTTTCTCTCTTAAAAAAAACTTTCACATTACTCTTTTTACATCCCACCATTCTAGTCCAGCACGGCCATTAAAATCATAATTTCTATCCAAAGAAAAAAAGAAGAGATAGCTCTGAGAAAGTCATTAACATGAACAGCAAAAACTTGAACTGTCGATAAACATCCGGTCTTGAATTTAGTTTGTGGGGAGACTAGAGAATAAGGCAATCTTTCATTATGTGATGGTGCAGAGACTTAATTTTGTCATGAATACGTTTAAAAATAAATCTTTTTAGCGCACTTCATGAACTCACTTATTCCCCCAACAAACAAACAAAGGAAAAGTCAAGACAAAAACTTAAGTATATAGATGAAAACAGAATCATTATCGAAAGAGATTCCACTCAGCTTTTATTTTCCTGCTTTCCTGTGGTGGTGCGGTTGCATTGTTCACCCTGGAGTTCTTCTTCATAGCTCCCTGGGATGCCCAAAACTACACATGCAATGAAGCAACATGACGAACATGTTCATGACTAACTCATCTAGACTATAGCAGATAGTCGTGACTTAAAATCTCTTAATTCACAAAAAGCTGTCACACAATTAGCGCAGAACAGTGTCTCTGTATTTTGCCAGGCAATCCCGGTCGCGTTCACACGCACTGTCAGACAGACAGACAATTACGTATAGTCAATATCCTATAATTAGTGTAATAACCGAATTCCGAACGTCATCATTGGACCAAACACTATAAACAGTACTATCCCTAGCCCTATAAACCTAATTTAAAACCCTATATAAACCCTAACCCTAACCTAAACAACATAAAACCCGCGGCAATCGTCGCCAAAACATTTGTCGGAGCACTGAAGATGTACATGAACTGCGAAGGTGCATTCACACAGCAATATTATTGGGGTCATTCAGACGATGAGTGGTGTGCATTGACGGAAAGGGCGTGTTACGAATAGATCCCGTCACAACGGAATGACACTCAGCGTGTAATTCATGCAATTTGACAGAATGTATCACTCTAAAATGCGTCACCATGAGTTACTCTAGTGTTTGAACAAGGCTGCATAAGTTTTTATTGAAAAATAAACATAAGGGCAAGAGTATTTCACAACGTTCGTAATAAAACAAAATGGTCAACACCACATGCAGAGCCAAGTTAACGGATGTTTACTATATACCTAACTAAACAAGCCACGTTGGTACAATGTTCATCTTGAATGTCACAATATTATTTGGAGATAACCTCATAATTGTACGGAAAACATCAACAGATGGTCACTATTTAAAAAGTGCACTATTTCGTAAAACAAATATTTGCAGGCAAGGAAGTACCTGTGATCAGGTTTGAAAAATGTTTTGATTTATATTTTTAAATAACAAAAGTGGCAGAGAGATTGAAGGAGTGGGCGAGAGGAGAGAGAAGGGAATAACAGGGAGGAAGGAGACAAAAGGGGAGAAGAAGGAAACGTTCATATCAATTTTTAAACAAATTGAACGGAAAATGACTAATACATTGATGATAAACCAGAGAGGCTAATATCTCTTAATATATACGAACAATTTAGCAAATAATATTTCTTTCAATAAATTGGTGGAATGATATACAGAATACAGGCTATACTAGGGGGAAAATACGAAAATAAAAAAGACATAAAGATGCAAAGAATCGGCGAAGGAAATGTTTAATTCAATCGAGGCAACAACAAACAGACAAGGGGACAAAGCATTCACCATGTCATCATATTTTACTTGTCCACCGTCTGGAGTGAGACTAGTCATTATGAAAAGTTTTATACTCTCTCTGCTACCCGCTAAACTCGGCTCATCGAACCCGTGCCGATGATTAGATACCTATCTATCACACACCGTGCTGCTCTTATGACTGTACTATTTCCACTCTCGCTCTAGCACACAGAAGTCCAATAGAGGGGACGTAAGGAGATATTTATGGACTATTAATAAACGACATTTAACCTCATTTTTAAAGATAATCACCGAATGATTGAAACACCGTAGCTTTTTGGAAGTCCGAAGTTTGGCATTTCGTTATTGCAGAACGCTTGACTGTCTTTACCGTCGAAAGAATCGGCGGGTTTTTAATATTTTCTTCTGAGAGCGGGCCAAGAAAGTAAGTCATAACTTTTACATACTTAGCGTAGCATAGTGTATTGTACTATAATGTCTAAACCTAATGAGCAGAAAGTTGCCATTTTAATTGGCTACTTTAGGAATATTCGATGTAATTATTTACATATTATGCCCTCGTACTTGTAGTTCTTTGCAAATCAATTGATTGTTTTTCTTCATTATCAGCATGCGAGTTGTTTCTTCTTTGCTCCTGATATTTTTCCAATGTCATCGAGAATTTTTTTTGACGTAAACAATTATCAATCATTTTCGAATGCCTAATCATTGCAATCTTTGAAACTTTTAATAATAATAATAATATGGATATTTATATAGCGCCGGTATCCGCCAGGCTCTGACGCTCATGGCGCTGTACATACATGTATTACTATCACAAAAATATAACATTCTTAACTACAATAAAGTAAACTAAAACAACACAAATTATTACGCTACATTTACATGATTAAATTGCCTGTTTGTCTTACTCTGTACTGGATGTATACAGGTATGTTTCCTATAACTACTTTAATTACCGTACATGTACGTCGTACCTTTTTAACTTTAAGAGTGACCGAAATTGAACCGGAAAGAGTTGATGTGATGTGTATAGAACAAACAAGTTTTTAATCTGCATGATTAGGTAGGAAAGTTGATTAACTCAGTAACCTAATTAGATAAATAGGTTCCTTAGGTTCGGGTAACTCTGCAGGAAATAGAAAGGGCTACGGATATTAGACAATGTGTGAATTCCGTCAGAAATTAATGAAGTTTGATTAGAAATGTAGTTCCATGCATCAAAATCAGACGTTTATTCTTGTTTTTTAAATCATGTCCATCTTTTTTTCTTTATTATCCGTTGACAAAAATGTTGTTCCTCATTGTCTTAAGTATATACATGAAGATGTATATCATGGTAAAATGCTGTCCGATAGTTTCTTGTATACGTTTTTGTGCCCGATATTCTATTTCAATTTTGTTATAAAATATTGACATTGGCTTTGCGTGTGATACAAGAACATAGTGTCATAGCGAGAGCAAAGTATTCGTATCCTTGTATCACACGTAAGCAAAGCCATACAATATTATTATTATTATCTATATCAGGCTGACTAGCGGAATAACAAAACTCGATGATCAAGAAGTTCCAGGATGACTGAGCAATACGAAAACAACATTGATCAGTCATCCGGGTACTGCGCTAAAGATATTAAATACACTAGTTTAGCTGATTTATTGTACCATTTAAAGCCTTATTTAGATAATAATGTTCAGTGTCTAAATCATTGTCTCATAGCCTATTTGTTATTCTTATCCATGCAGGTTTTAAAAATGATATCCCTTTAACAGAAGTGGATTTTGATATTTTTTAATTACCTCAAGGTAACACAGGAGGATGATGTTCCTCTGCAGGGGCAGTTTCAGGATTTTGTTTAGGGGGCACCATTCCCCTAAATTACACAACTGAGCCCTGGACAAAGCATTTGTTGTACATGTATACTGCACTGTAGGATACGCTAATTGCAATGGGTCTCGAGATAGTTTGTATGTATGTGTGTGTGTGGAAGGGGGGGGGGGGCGCACGGGCCGTTGATGCCCCTCCCACATCCATCATCGATATATGTAGTATGTACAACATAAATAATGTACCTTAGACATTCAACACGTGAACAAAGGGGAACAAAAACATGTCATGTTTTAAAGGGTTGCAGAGGTCAAGTCCATATTGAAAGTCTCAGGACCGCCTACAGTGTACTGACGCAGTAATCCCCATGCAGACTGTGAGCCAAGTCATTATCACGTTGGGTTTTGTACAATAATATAGGCAATGGTGTGACAGTCCCCTTTAGCCCTTGAAGTAAGCTTTTTTTCAAGGAGTTTGTCCCCCTACATTAAGGTATAATCTCTAGAAAGGCATGGCATAGACAGACAGACGGTCAACAAATTTCATCAGGGGGCTGACGACTTCATAATTTCCCCGAAAGTAATCTTTCCACTTTCAAAGTTTTTTGTGAGAGAGCCAAGCAATTGACTAAATGTTTTGACACCGTATGACATTGATTGTGCTATTTTTGCCATCAAAATGATTATGCAAAATGAGATTAGAAAAAAAGGAAAGGACAACCTTGCTGCATCATCTGCATGAGTATTTATAATTTCAGAGTTCTTGGGGAAGCAATATGCAGCCCCCACAGTCTCGCCTCGTACTATGAAGAATGATAGCGCAAACAGCAAGGTAATTCTAACATTTTACGATGGCACGTTCGCGGTTCAAACACAATAAAAACTTTATTTCATAATAAGAATACCACCCTAGATAAATTGACGGACTGGAAGTTTTAAAAACTGGAGGCCTACAACTTTGTGACAATGAAATGATGCAATGGTGTTATAATGGGCATAGCAATACGTGATACAATATTTCAAAACCTATAGTCTAGAGTTCAAAAGAACGAATCCTGGTAGTCAGATGAAGTGTTTTGAAATAAGGATTAATATATGAGTTGTGTAGGTTTACATAGGAAAGATATATATTTTTTGAGTTAGATGTGCCATCTTTAAAAGTTTGTATATGAACGTTTTTTATGCGTTCCGTTTATCATGTTGAAGGGCATGTGGAACTTATCATAATTGCCTACAAATGTTATTTTTGAGAGGAACATATCAGTCAGCATGCGCAGTGTTTGTTTGATTTGTTTTAATGACGTTTTGAATGGAAATCTAGTACTAGCCCACAAACTGTATGAAGGAGTTCATTTAACATTCATTAGTGATTTCTATTAATAAACGCAGCTTCCAGGACGAATGTGACTGACATAGTCATATCATTTCCGTTTGCCATTTATAAACCATACGAACTCGGAAAGATATGCGGAAACCATGAATATACATGTAAGGATGAAATTTAAAGCCGTGATCTAAATCTCATTCCAAGCTTAGTAGACGGATCAAGAGTTTTATGCGAAAAATATCTGATTGATGTTTGCCTAACATCGTGTAATCCAAAGTTTCTAACTGATCGAAGGTGTAGATTTCATTCATGCTTATGTTTCTATACTTAATGACATTATACATGCACTATATTTTGCATTTCGCAAAACCCTTCCCTTTCCCTTTAACGGGGGCTGTGTGTAATGAGGGGTGGGGGTGGGGTAGAGGCTTAATGTATTTAGGTAGTCTTGTGCTAAATGTAGAACCATCGCAAGATGTACTGATTTCCTCCTCAGCAATTATTAAAATATGGGGGTATTCCTGCTTCGCCACACGATGCATATGATACATTAACTACATAAATTACAATTAACAAAAAAGGAGCAGTTTCCTATTCATAGGTATTTTAACCTGGTAAGTGAATTAATGATTGTCGTTTGTTTACTCCAGTGTTGATATCCTAATCTCCATTTACCAGATCAGAGTTCCGCTTGAAACAGGTCAAAAGTTTGCATTGACAAATATAAATTAAAGAGAGAATGAGAGACAGAGAGGAAGAGAGATTGACAGACATGGAGAAAGAAAGGCAGGGAGGGGTGGGAAGGGAAAGTGTGAGAGAGAGAGATAGTGAGAGAGAGAGAGAGAGAGAGAGAGAGAGAGAGAGAGAGAGAGAGAGAGGGGGGGGGGGTAGAGTGGGGTGAGGAAGCGATATGGGAGAAAAGCTGGAAAGGGGATGGCATGGCAATTGTTCCTGTTTATGAACTAAAACTTCTTTAAGGGGTGGAACCCGAACAAGCCAAATAATTCATTGCTCTTTTATTTGCAAAAGGAATATAATACTAGCAAACGAACAAAAACAAATCATCCATCCAGAAAGCCGACTGTTGACGGGAATCATGTTCTATACCTGTGAAACTAAAAACTTTAAAAGGGGAGGAACCCCACATCATATCCACATGTATTTACAAAAGGAATAATAAAAGGGCGCTATTAAAGACGTTGTAGTTTTGCTTCTTAGAATGAACCGCCCTAGGCTTGTTCGTTTTACAAAACTTCATGGCTTTTTGCCTAAAATATCAATTGCAGAACAAGGTTGTGTAAATATTCAATTTTAATTTATTTGCATGGATCCGAAAATATTGGATTAGAGAATGAAATAAAACAGACGATACACAAATAGATTGGGATATAATAATAAGAGCTGTTTTTGTATGAATAAGAAAAAATAAGAGGAAATGATATAAGGGGTTGTTTATTCCTTTATAATAATAATAAAAATAATAATATGTCTTGTTTACCCAGGGTAGCCTCATCAGTATTCATACTGTTCTAGTATGCACGTCACTTTGTATATAAATAGGTCTACGGAAGGAACGGCAAAATTATGAGAAAATAATAATAATACAAATTAAAAATAATATGAAATGGAGGTAACAGCCAAGACGGGTTATATCTAATGCGTAAAGATTAAAATGGATCTTTGTGTTGGCGGAAGCTCTTCATTGTTTTCATTGTCAAGCGATAGCTTTTCAGCAAACCTCCTTCATGTTAATTTTAGAAGAATTATTCCTCAAGAGAATGACGTGACTCATGTTGGTTGAGACGATAAGTAAACCATGATAGTTATAGGAAGAAAAAAAACGCGTGAAAAAAAGTGTGCAAGTCAAAGACATCACACACCAATAACATTCCTCCCCAAAAGAATAAATAAATAGATTAGATAGATATATAAAGGAAAACATAAATGCATAATTGATAATAGTAATAACACATAAACGAATGAATACATACACACAAAATGAATAAATAAACAAAGAACAAATGAATGAAAACAAATAGAATATATATATTCTATTTGTTTTCATTCATTTGTTATATATATATATATATATATATGAATAAATAGTAATATATAAATTCAAGGGACATGCAATCAACGAACACGAAAGACGTCTTGTAGGAAAGCTATAAGCTGTCACGCAAGACCTTAATCTTACATTCGAGCGATCTTTGTGAGTTCGAGTGGAATACTCGGAAGGAAACTTTTGAGGAGGAAATAGCAAAATTCAA